TACAATAATTAAAATAAGGATTCAAATACTCAGTTATAAGCCACACGTTTTCAGTATAAAATCTTTTTAGATTGTATTGGGGTAGTTAAATTTAAATGCATTTCATAAAAAGTAAGTGTGTATGTCACTCATCCGCATCCTCATGTGATAGTTGTGCAATGAACGAGAACATAAGTGTGGATAAACGAATCCAATTGAATACGAAATTACAGAACATCTTAGTAAAATCTGAGAACCATACAGTAAATACTACATTTGCAAAATATCAATCAGTTATCTCAAACTAGACTGTTCCTTCGTTTCCACACTAATCATTCTTTGTTCTCGTTCACTTTTCTTTGATCTTCTTAACCTTCTGTCTCTAGGCATTTCATTTTCGATTGATGATACATACTACTTATATCAATCGTCATCAGTAGTACACAATATAATAGATCCAAACTAAACCTTTTGGTAACTTTTCTACAGTTAAGATATCAGAAGGTGAAATGAGTTGTCCACATTAACTCTCATAATATTAAATTATATAACTCACCTGATAAGATACGTAAAGTACAATGAATGTACATTGGGGTAATTTATAAATTTCAATTAGATATCGTCTTAATATTTACCTGGATAAAACAATTGAATTTGATGTTGACTTAATAAGGCTTTGTAATTTTTCGTTCTTGATATTCAAGCGTACAATCGAGCAACCCCTTTTTTAATATATGTATCCTTATCTGATTATCTCTTTTTAGCTCTATTCAGCAAGACAGATGGATCATGATTCGCAATACAATTCAGGATGTATAATTTGTCCTCTTTTAGACTTATCAGTTGGTATACTTGTATCTGTGTTCATAATCACATTAGGACTCGCACTTGTTACCTTTCATTTCAAACAATCAACATATTTACCACTGAGCTTCTGAATAAGGTCATCAATTCATTTATATAACCGATATAAAAGTACTACCAAAGAACACATTACGTTGGAAAATAGAAGCAGACATGAAAAGGATGAATGTTAACTGGAAATAACTGAAAAGGATTGCCCAGGAAGAGTTGGATTGAGAATTCTGGTGGGCGGTGTATGCTCCTCCACGAGGGGTTATAGGAGTAAGTAAGTAAGTAAGTAATTTATTATCGTTAATATTCTGTATTGAAATTGACTTCGTATTAGATTTAGCTTAATAACTATACTTATCAAACTACAACAATTAGATAGCAATTAATATGTCAAAAAGCATAATTAACTATTTATCAAAAACGATTGTTTGGTAACTGTTTATTCAGTTATACACAATAATTCATCAAACAATAAATAACCATAACGTTTATAATTCGACCATTTTTGTTCCTCTTCTTTCTAATACCATATACATTCAATGGGAAGATAAAAATATCTATGTCAATACATTTAAATAAAATCTTATGCTATGTTTCTAATCTATGGATGTTGTTATTTTTAACTGATTACTTACTCACTTACTTACTTAATACTTACTTACGCCTGTTACTCCCAATCGAGCATAGGTCACCGACCAGCATTCTCCAACACACTCTGTCCTGAGCCTTCTTTTCTAGTTCTATCCATTTTTTGTTCATTCTTCTCAAGTCTGTCTCTATTTCTCGGAGTAATGCGTTCTTTGGTCTTCCTCTTCTCCATTCACCTTCAAGATTCCATGTGAGGGCTTGTCTTGTGACGCAATTGGGTGATTTCCTCAAAGTGTGCCCTATCCACTTGCAACGCTTCTTCCTGATTTCTTCTTCCGCTAGAATCTGGTTTGTTGTTTCCACAGTAGTTTGTTGCTGATGGTATTTGGCCAACGGATGCGAAGTATCTTGCTTAGACAACTGTTGATAAACACTTGTATCTTCTGGATGATGGCTTTCGTAGTTCTCTAAGTTTCCACCGCATACAGTAGAACTGTTTTGACATTTATATTGAAAATTGTGATCTTCGTGTTGGTTGACAATTGTTTTGAGTTTCAGATGTTCTTCAGTTGTAGGTATGCTGCTCTTGCTTTGCTTATCCGCGCCCTCACATCTGCATCTGATCCACCGTCTTCATCAATGATGCTGCCCAGATATGTAAAGGTTTCCACATCCCGCAAAGCTTCTCCGTCAAGTGTAATTTGATTGGTGCATGTTGTATTGTATCGGAGAGTCTTACTTTTCCCTTTGTTTATATTGAAACCTACTGTTGCTGAGGCTGCTGCTACACTGGTCGTCTTCTCCTGCATTTGTTGTTGCGTGTGTGATAGAAGAGCCAGATCATCTTCGAAGTCTGAATCGTCCAGCTGCATCCTGCCTGTCCACTGTATACCGTGCTTTTTTCAGATGTTGACGTCTTCATGATCCAGTCGATCACCAGAAGAAAGAGAAGCGGTGATAGTAAGTAACCTTGCCTAACACCGGTCTTTACCTCGAACGAGTCGGTGAGTTGTCCTCCGTGGACGATTTGGCAGTTTAGTCCATCATAGGAGTTCCGTATGATATTGACTATCTTCTCAGGCACGCCGTAGTGTCGAAGAAGCCTCCATAGTGTTGTCCTGTCTACGCTATCAAATGCCTTCCGTAGTCGATGAAGTTGATGTAGAGTAATGAGTTCCATTCGATTGATTGTTCCACAATGATACGTAGAGTTGCGATTTGATCTGTGCACGATTTATCCTTGTGAAATCCAGCTTGTTGATCTCGAAGTTGGGTGTCTACGCAATCTTTCATCCTGTTTAACAATACTCTGTTAACAATACCCCTGTAGTTATTGCACTTGTTGAGATCTCCTTTCTTTGGTATCTTGATCAGAAGTCCTTCTTTCCAGTCTGTTGGTACTTGTTCTTCGTCCCAAATCTTACTAAAGAGGATGTGTAGTATCTTGGCAGTTGCTGCTACATTTGCTTTCAGTGCCTCTGCTGGAATGTAATCTGGTCCAGTTGCTTTGCCTCTCTTGATTTGCCTGATGACCATGTTGATCTCTTCAATTGTTGGTGGGCCAACATCGATTGGGAGGTCTGTGGGTGCTACTTCGATGTTGGGTGGGTTCAGTGGAGCTGGTCGATTTAAGAGTTCTTTGAAGTGTTCTACCCACCTGTTTCGTTGTTCTTCAATGTCAGTGATTACTTTACCTTCCTTGCTTTTCACTGGTCTTTCTGGCTTACGGTAATTTCCAGCAAGTTTCTTTGTTGTATCATACAGTTGTCTCATGTTTCCCTCTCTTGCAGCCTTTTCCGCTGTCATTGCTAAATCTTCCACATATTTACGTTTGTCGGTTCTGATGCTCCTCTTCACTTGCTTGTTTGCCTCTGTGTATTCGGCTTGTGCCTTGGCTTTTTCTGCTCTGGTTCGGCTGGTATTGATTGCTGCCTTTTTGTTCCTTCTTTCTTCAATTTTATCCAGTGCACCAACAGTGATCCATTCCTTGTGATGGTGCTTCTTTTGGCCCAGAACCTCTTGACATGTTTAAGTGATTGCCTCCTTGATGCCTTTCCAGTTGCTCTCCATGGTAGTTCCCTCTCCATTGAGTAGATCATGAAAGGTCTGGAACCTGTTGCTGAGGGTTATGTTGAATTTGTTGAGTTTGTCAGCATCTCGAAGAAAGGCCGTATTAAACTTTTGTGATGTTGTCCGCGCCATTGTCCACTGCTTCTTGAGTTTTAGTTTCATCTTGGCGACCAGCGAATGATGATCGGATGCTATATCAGCTCCTCTTCTGGTTTTCACATTCTCAATCGTCCTCCTGAACTTTTTGTTGATGCAGATATGGTCGATTTGGTTTTGTGTAGTGTGGTCCGGTGAAGTCCATGTGGTTTTGTGAATGCGTTTGTGTGGGAATATAGTGCCGCCTATGACCAGTTTATTGAAGGCACATAGGTTTGCAAATCTCTCACCATTTCCATTCCTTTCTCCCAGTCCATGTTGTCCCATGACGTCTTCGTATCCAGTGTTGTCCATTCCAACCTTGGCATTGAAATATCTCATTAGAATGGTCAGGTTCTAGGTTGGACACTTCTCGAAGATCGACTGCAGCCTATCGTAGAATTGGTCTTTAGCGTCTTCATCGTAGTCATTGGTAGGCGCATAGCATTGGATGACGTTCATTGTAATATTCTCTTTCTTTGTTTTGAAGGGGGCTTTGATGATCCTTGGTCCTTGAGATTCCCATCCTATAAGTGCATTTTGTGCTTTCCTGGACAGCATCAATGCCACTCCTTGTGTATGTGGGGCATTTTAGTCTTCATGACCGGAGTATAACAGAAGTTCTCCTGAAGACAGTCGTTGTTGTCCAACCTGCGTCCAATGTGTTTCACGGATTCCAAGCACTTCCAGGTTGTATTTTCTCATTTCTGCAGCAATTTGGAAAACTCTTCCGGTCTCCCACATTGTCCGGACGTTCCATGTACCTGTAAAAAGTGTTGCTCTGGTTGTCAGAAGAGGCTATAGGCCTCATAATTTACGAAGGAACTCGGCTTTCATCATGAGGCGTCATAATTCTTCTTTCAACTCCCAAGGCAGAGTTTAAATGGTTTTAATAATTTTTTCTGGTTAGTGTTTTTTTAGCGAGTTAGTTTTCTACGAGATGAGGTCACTAACCCCATGCCCAACCCTCCTTCTTTATCCGAGCGTGGGACTGGCAGTAGCCCCAGGAGGAGCTACAGGCGGAGTTAAGTAAGTAAGTTAGATAATATAAAAACAGTTCTTTTTAAAATATTTATCCAGAACTTAATAGTAATTCACTTGTCAATTTCTGTTTTAATAACTGACACCCTATTAGGATCTATGAAACTTTTTTCCGAATGAACATATACTACTTAAATACAAATTTAAATAATCCTACCAATTAAATATTCAAATAGATTTAAGAAAAAATAAATCAGTTTAATATAAATTTATTGGACAAATAAATCATTAGATGAACAGACAGACATTATAATATGTCTGTTCACGATCATTAACCAATCAAATTCATACTGATTCTTGTTTATATAATCTAACTATTTCTACTTCTAAATGACCAAATATTATGATACATCTCTTTAGTCCTATCCATTTCGTCCACTTCTTACTTACTTACTTAAGCCTGTTACTCCCAATGTAGCATAGACCGCCGACCAGGATTATTCTGTAAACTAGTTATACATAAATAGTGAATAGATTATATATTATACTTTAAAGAAAGAGATACTATTCAGAAGACTTCGAAGAACATGATGTATAGATATATACAGTACCTGCATATACATACATATTAGATAGTACACATAAATCAAATCCAATTACTCGTACTAATTACTGACGACAATTGTGATAAGTTATTCCATACTTGTTTATCTCTTATTCTAGGATAGTAACTTGATGTTTATTGTTGAAAACAACAACACCAACAACATCTTCGACGACGACGACAACAACAACAACTGAGGAATACGTCTATCAAAGATTATAAATGGAATATTACATTATCCAATTAAGAAGAAAAACATCTTTCTAATATTGCCTATGGTTAATATCGCCTTGGAGATTACATCAAAAGTGAATAATTTATTGAAGGTATTCATTGAATATTCTAATTTCTATTCTTCAATTAAACAATTACTGATTCTATTTACCGATATTAATCAAAATAGATCATGAATTCATATAATAGTGAAATTACATCTATAAAATCTATTCATAGTTATACTAGTCATGTAATCTCATCTAATTCATCATCACAACCATCAACTGATTCATTAAGACCACCATCTATAACTGGTTTACCACAATTAAAAAGCCTTACATCAACAGAAATTATGAATATTAATAAAAATCCTATCATAACATATTCAAATGATAAACATTATATTAAACATATACCAAATATTATTACTACTACTCATACTACTTATACTACTAATAATACTACTAATAATGATTTTACTGATGAAATCTTTCAAACGAATGGACAGTTGTTAACAACAACTATACCAGATGATATTCATCATTTAAATCAATGGAACTTTCAATATAGTACAAATCATATAAATGACCATAAAACATTGAATAATAATGGTACATTCTTTTGTGGTCCAGGACGTAAACGTTATTTAATTGCATTTTTATGTTGTACATGTCTTACTATTGTTATTGGTATGAGATCAGAAATGTTAGGTATTATAACTAATTTAAATAATACTAATACACGTATAACATTCGGGATTAAATATACAACAAATAAATATCATAAAGATTTACATCATCTAGATCCTAACATGATGAATGGATCTATAGAATTAGAAAAAGATAAAGAAGATAAAGAAGAACTACAACAACAACAACAACAAGAGAAGGGGGGAGAAGAAGTACAAGAAGAAGAAATCAATATTGATGAAGAATTACATATTAATTCAAATAGAATCTATCATAATATACGTCCATTAACAACATCATTAATATTTAAACCATCAGAACATCGTAAAATGCCATGGACTGAAACAATTAAAAATGATATTGTAGAAAATTCAGTATTTTTTGCTTATTTAATAACAAGTCCTATAGGAGGTTATTTAACAGTAAATTATGATTCATCATTTTTATTAGGTAGTTCAGTTGCTATTACATGTGGTATGAATTTATTTTTACCACTTGTTGAAACTATTGGAAATAATATTAATGCAAAATTAATTATGATTATATTATTAAGATTAATACAAGGATTAGCTGAAGGTTGTTTAATACCATCTGTATTTGGTATATTACGTTTTTGGAGTCCTATTAATGAACGTTCTACATTAGTATGTTTATCTGTAATTGGTGTATCATTAGGACCATTAATTGGTTTACCTGTATGTGCTGAAATTGAAAAAAAATGGGGTTGGGGTGTTGTATTTTATATATATGCTAATTTAGGTTTAATATGGTGTATATTTTGGTGGAGATTAATTGATGAAAAACCAAATAAAGATAAAAAATTAAATAAACATGAATTAAATTTTTTAAAAACAACAATATCAAATCGTATATTATATAATCATAATTATACAAAAATACCATGGCAACAAATATTTACATCACGTCCTGTATATGCTATATTATTTACATATGCTGCAGATGATTGGACATTTCAAATATCATCAGTATGTATGCAATCATTTTATCAACAAATATATAATGTTGATGTTGAACGTACTATATTTTTTTTATCATTTCCATTTTTATCAAGATCAATGTTTGTTCCAATTGGTAAGTTTGGAGGGGGGGGAATATTACTATTATTATTATTATTATTATTATTAATAGTAGTAGTAGTAGTACTATTATTATTATTATTATTATTGTGGAAATCATGAGTCAATTGAAGTTAGACCACTATGGAAAACCTGGAAGAAGTGGACGGCTATTTTGTAATATTATGGAACTCTTCAACAGTGCACATCCACAATCCCAAGATCTACCAGCTTCGCGCAAGAGCACTTAACCGATAGACTACTGAGCCGGCAGGTATTTAACGGTGTTAATGTCTAACTTCAACTGATTCACGAAGTTGAGCAACCGTTTATCAATTGTCTTCAGTGATTTGATATCTCACAACAGACGTGGTTTGCACTCCACTGGTCACTGCTTCTCACTAGAACTCCTCGACTTACCTCTCGAAGTCAGTCACTAGTGATCATATTATTATTATTATATTTATTATTATTATTATTATCATTATTATCAGAAGGGGTTTTGTGGAGATTAAGTATTATCATAGTTGAAATCATGAGTCAATTGAAGCTAGACCACCATGAAATACCTGGAAGCACTGAACGGCTGTTTCGTCCTGTTATGAGACACCTCAGCAGTGCGCATCCACGATCTTGCGCGTCCAGTGCTTCCAGGTTTTCTATGTTGGTCTAGCTTCAATTGATTCATGATTTCGATTATGAAAACCCCCCTTCTGATTATTGTTATTATTATTATTATTTTATCAATTTTCAAATTTTATTTTTTTATTATTATTTATCAAATTAACTTTAATAAAAAAGGGTGTTGCTAAATAGAAAAAAAACAAAAATAAATGGATAATTGTTTTGTTCCAGTTTAAAGAATTTCAATATTATTACTTATTTATCAACAAATCAAATGACTCATGAATTCATTCTCCACAAAACTCCATTCTGATGATAATCATATTCCCACTAGTGACTGGCTTCAACATGGATTTCCTGAAGTTCTAGTGAGAAGCCATATATAGTGGAGTTCAACCGGGTCTGTTGTAAGGCAATTACTGACTGAAGACAATAGTGAACGGTCGCTCAATTTCGTGAATTGGTTGAAGTTAGACATTAACACCGTTGGTGTAGATACTAAGTTTTCGCGCGCGAGACAGATAGCTCCTGGGTTGAAATCTCTTTGGTGCAGGATCCTTGATGCGCACTACTGAGGAGTCCCACAATAGGACGAAAAGCCCCTCCAGGTCTTTCAGGTTTTCCATGATGGTCTAGCTTCAATTGACTAATGAATTTAACTATAAAATTAATAAATTCTCTACAAAACCCCTTCTGATAAATTAGGAATCGAACTTAGGGGAATATAAGATTCGATTTTTTAGGAAATACTTCATAGGGATTTTTTATTCATTTACAACGTCAGATTATATTTTTCATTATGAACTACTAACTGAGATCTGTATACTGACTAGTAAATAGTTATCCAATGAATTTCTTTCAATCCATATCATAGTAATGTCATTCACTCGTGATGTTAAAGCAAACCTAATAGTAAGATAGTAATTTTTTAATGAAAATGAGTAAGAATTCTAAAACATCAGTTGCTGACTGATTTTGAAAGTATGAGCTGTTTGAAACTAACGGAAAGTTTGATAATGGTCTTATCATCATTAAATGACTCGATATCGTTATACACAACTCGGTGTATGCATGTATGTATGTGTGTGGTCGTAGGCTTTGAATAGTCTCCAACTAGAAGAAACTACAATAAAGATCTATTTTTTAAGTGCCGTTTCATTACTTACTTACTTACGCCTGTTACTTCCAATCGAGCATAAGCCACCGACCAGCATTCTCCAACACACTCTGTCCTGGGCCTTCTTTTCTAGTTCTATCCAGTTCTTGTTCATTCTTCTCATGTCTATCCCCATTTCTCGGCACAATGTGTACTTTGATCTTCCTCTTCTCCTTTCACCTTCAGGATTCCATGTGAGGGCTTGTCTTGTGACGCAATTGGGTGATTTCCTCAAAGTGTGCCCTATCCACTTCCAGCGTCTCTTCCTGATTTCTTCTTCCGCTAGAATCTGGTTTGTTGTTTCCACAGTAGTTTGTTGCTGATAGTGTTTGGCCAACGGATACGAAGTATTTTGTGTTGACAACTGTTGATAAGCACTTGTATCTTCTGGATGATGGCTTTCGTAGTTCTCAAGGTTTCCACCCCATACAGTAGAACTATTTTGACATTTGAATTGAAAATTGTGATCTTGGTGTTGGTTGATAATTGTTTTGAGTTTCAGATGTTCTTCAGTTGTAGGTATGCTGCTCTTGCTTTGTCGATCCTCGCCCTAGTGTCGTTTCATGACTTCCCAGAAGTCAATTCACATTTGATCTTGACAAATACAGAATTCTAAATTCTTTTATTATAAGTTGTATTTGATACTACTGTCATTGGAATAATCAGAAAGTATTGACATATTGAGAATACTTTGTTGACATTATAAGTTTACCTAACAGTATTAAACGACGTTTAATAGTTGAATTCATTAGTCGATTTAAGGTAGACCACCATGTCCTAGTATGGGACTCCTCAATAATGTGCATCCTGTAGCAAGGGGACTCGAATCCAGGACCTAAGGTCTCACTCGCAAACATTTTTTAATGTTCACTTTGGGACTCGAACCCAGTACTGTTCGCTTCAAACGCCATCGCGTTATCCACTCAGCTACTGAATCCTGATATTCCTGATAGTGCGTTCTGGATTCCACTGCTAGCCACTATCCATCTTCGCTAAAAATGCTTGTGAATTAAGACTATATCGAGGCAATACGCACAGTATGCACATATGCCAATAAGAGACTAACCAGTTGCAGTCCTAAACATCAATGGGAAGATTCAAACAAACAATACCTAGTGAACTTAGATAGTAACAACGGTTTACAGTTCACAATTACAAAACAAAACCAAAACATAGTTCAAAAGGGAAATAATGCCAAGGAAATAATAAATGTTGGATATATCATTTTTGCACGCAGAGTTCTGGTTTGAACTGGTGGATCACAAACACCTCTGCAGTACATACATTTTTGATCTAGCCTCACTTTGATCCAATAATTTTGATTATATAGATTATTTCGAAGGAAAACTCCTTTGTAGCAACTTGGTCTGAGTGAACTTATGATTGCTTCGCATTTTTCTTTTAGTAGCTACACCAGATGTGTTTGGAAACCAAACAACTCTAAATGATAATGTACAGCTTAAATAAATGATTTCGTTAAAAAAAAAATTTTCTTATCTGAAGGGTTATTTTAATTACGTGAAGACGTCACATTCTGATGTAGGTTTGTTCTCTGAGCTGGATGGTTTGATCACCCACCTGAGCTACAAATCTTCTCCACCATAGCAGATGTTACATTCGTTTTGACTGTTAACTTTAATCTACAAATATATATCAAACAGTTGTGTTCCCAACACAAGTTATATTTATATTAACAGTAGCTGACCTTATACAACCTTAAGTATTAACCAAAGAGTGATAAATGGCTTACGCATTTATTTATTTATTAAACTAATGTCAATCTATTTAATTGCTTTGTTCAGTTAACTAAACGAAATAGAAGATTATTATGCAAACAGAAAATTAATCCCATATGATATTACTTACGCCTATTATCCTTAATGGAGCATAGGCCAGTATAAGCCAGTATTCTCCAACACCAAGCCGATTTCCTATATGAACTAAGGTTTGCTTATTTGGATATGTTAGTAATAGTACTTAAAAATAACCATTTTAGATACTGCGTAGTTAGGATTGTCAGTGATTTATTGATCAGACCATTGACACACGAAAGCCGTACGAGCAGTCTAGAGCACTCATTGGTCTCTGCTTTTAACTAGCCCAGCCAGTTAAGTCCAGAACACCAATAACAGCCTCTGCACTATGAATTATTATTCTCAAACATACTGGGTTTATATACCAAGCACACAGATCATATTGTACCATAAAATAGAAAATAACATTTGTACAAGATTTGGCCAAATGTGTCTGTGAATAGGGGGAACAGTAATTAATAGATAGGGTATAACTCAAGAACGGTAAATCGTATAGTAATAGTTCATAGGTCAAAATAAAGTTTATAATAAGAGGAACACGAATATGAATAGATTAGTTACTTAGTGATTATAAAAAAGGAAATATAAGTATCATATTGGTCCATAAATAGTCCTCAAATGTTACCATTCCTAATTCTCTTTGGTATATGACACAAATGTTATTGTGAATTTCAACTTCTTAAAATAATGAACCTACTTTATTAAGAGGATTCTAAAAGGTTAGTCAGTATTTTATCTATTTATCTACCATATAGATATTGGTCTAATATAAATATCCTATGATATATTATATTATAATCATAGTTCATTTACTTACTTACCTACGCCTGATACCCTCGTGGAGGAGCATAAGCCTCTTACCAACATTCTCCATCTAACTCTGCCCAGTGCAATCCTTTCCAGTTCCTTCCAGTTTTTATTCACTTTTTTCATATCTGCTTCTATTTCCCGACGTAATGTGTTCTTTGGCCTTCCTCTTTTCCGCTTCCCTTCTGGATTCCAAGTTAGGGCTTGCCATTAAAAAGGCAAACCCTAAAACAGATATTTTCTATCCGTTTTAGTTGATTTACTTATGTATTAAAGAATGATTTAGGCATTTAACCTTTAGTTATATTATTTACATGAAGTACAATGATACTTTGGTTTTAAGATGAGAGAACTTATGTAAGATATACCAGTTATGAAATACAAGTGTTTCAGCCACTAGGCTAATGTTTCATATTATTATTTTACCAGATTGCTTGTATCACTTTATATATTAACTAAATGAGTTTAATACCATGAAAATTGCTGTTTTTCCATTAAAAAACTTGTGCCCAATTGGTTTCGCTGATTCTGAGTACTGCCAGGTTGTATCTCCTCTTTTCCATTGCTATTTGACTGGTCTTCCCTGTCTTCCACATTGTTCGAACGTTCCACGTA